GAAGGAGAGGTTATGTCAAGCTCAATCTGTGGGAGCAAGCGATGTTGAAGTATGACAAGACTGGAGGACTTAACGCCGATCTTTTGAAATGAGGCTCAACTACGGTAAAAGACGTATGAAGGACAACGGGCCTACTAGCTATGCCAAGTGCACGTCTCGGACCACTTCTTATAGTTATTCACACGACATGCAAGGACCCGTAAAAATCTCGAAGGCGAGGTGCTCGGGCACCGAGGTTCTGCATGTCAAGGATACATGTGAGTGTGCGAGGTGGCCTACTACTCTGCGTAGTAGATATTCGCATTCCAGAAGAATCCGAACAGGCCGGCATGTCCAACTGGGGAAGGTCTCTCATACTTTTCAAACTCCGTGTATAGACGGCGTTACAGCCACTGCCAACTACCTGGTACTAGGAGCGGCTGATTCGATCGGCAACAGATCCGATCGGCACGCACTATGGATGTTGTGTGTCTCGCTACTATTCGCGCATTCCCGTAGTACAGAGGGCCTGACGCCAAGGTCCGTCACATACGTCAAGTGCTCTCATGCGCTGCCAATTAAAGTTCCGCGGACCTTCACCTAGCCTCCATACCTTCTTCAACATCTTAAAACAGTGAATAGTCGCGGCGTTATGTCTCCGAATACTTTGTACGACAGACCGAGAGCCGTGGAAATATCGCGTCTTCCCAGCCTGTTGTGCGCTAGGTAGCTAAAACTAGCAGGGGCGGCGCGCGCCCATCACAAACTCAGCTGTGGCGCCTCGGAAGCATGTAATATGCATAGGCAAGATTACAACGGCTGTATTACGCGATGAGCAGAGTCGTGCATAGCTTCCGCGTGTTGAGGGAAATACAAGATGATCGACACATAACAGCGCATGGGCAGGCTGTCTAGAGGTGGTTTCGCGACTGGCACGAGACGATTCGATCGCAATACAAAAAATGGCACAACCATAAACTGAGGCGTTCAAGACCAGAGTGAGAACTTGCCGGCTGTTGTGGTTGAAATTGGCTTTTACGCATACTCTACCATCCAAAGACGGGGTTTAGGCGTCCCAAACTTCGCATGTCACCCTCGCGTGGCTAAACCTCCATCCTCAATTGTTCTCGCCCCCAGACGCCACCAATATCCAGTATCTAGAATCTGACAGATGCGCCTGCAAGATGACTTCTGTGCGGAACTAGGTACTGGTCGCCTAGAGAATGAGACTGAAACCATTCAACCCAGACTTGAACCGAGGCTTTTTGCCTGAGTTGGAAGATACTCTGCACAGCATGCTCATTTGTCTACGAGAAAGATAGTGTTAAAATCAAGGAGTGTGGTACTGTACCTAGCAGCAGCAACTGTCTGACTTCATCGTTCGTCCTCGAGATCTCCTACAATTGTTATTGTCCACGACCGAGACAAACGTTACATTCATTGCAGTCTGTCTATGCCTGCAGGAATTTGTAGCGGCTAGCTCGTTTGAAACTGTCAGCTCTCTGACATCAGGCTACTGGTACGGATCAGGACACCTGACTACAGGGCTATTATACCGTCAAGTCTCGCAATATATCTGGCACGCGGGGCGCAGTACGACAGACTCATATGCAGTGAGAGATCGCAATGCGACCAAGAATATCACGCACATGGACAAAGAGTCCAGGAGGGAACATCTTGAAGGTGTCGTCGCATAGAGGGCGCATATGAGAAGGGTGGAGTGTGCATCTGCGAATGAGGATGATGATGATGATGATGATGATATTGGTTTAACTCTGCGAATGAGGACAGCATCTTGCCCCCATATAAATGCATTGTGAAGATCACGCACGTCAATGTATTCTGATTCAGATCTTACATGGTTGAATTTCATCTTCAGCTCTCAGTCTGTCACTAGAGACGAAGCACCGAGCGTACAGTACAAGAGTTCAACAAGTGTCCAAATCCAAAACCTCAACCGCTCTTTCTGACAACAGCAGCCCGGATCAGGATCAAACCGCAGTGTGAATCGAATGCGCACTCTATTCCATGAAAGATGTAGCTTCTTGGAGTCAGACCCAGGCTGGATATGAGCTGTGGATGATGTATATTCTCGATGACTTTGACATTTTCCGGATCAAAGACGGTATCACGAGCTTGTCGCAGTGGTGTCTTAAACCGACAGCGAGCTAAAGCCTAAGTTGCCTGCTCTTGTCGACGAGGTCTTCGCACTGCCTGACCGGGTATCGTTCAAATCAAGAGATGGAGACTTGCTCAACATTCGTAACTATCCCGGACTACTAACGAAAAGTCACAACAAGGCGTGAAGATGCACCATTTGATCATTGAGAAGAACAACAGTATATGTTGCCTCTTTCCAACCATTGTGCCAGCTGAAGTGTGAGCAACACCACGAGATGTCCGGTGTGCCCCTCTATCAACACAGTCCAGGTTGCCCCTCCATGACCACCCCGCTGTGCCCCTCGCGCCCTTTGCCCCTCATTGTTTTGCCCCTCTGATAGTGCCACAATCTACGCTTTGTTGGAATTGCCGTTTCTGGTAGCATCAATCCGCACTGAAGTGTCTTGGGTATGTTGCAAACTCTTAAAGGACAACACATGGGCATCACGCGACAGCAATGTACGTAAACGCCATGCGAAACGGCAAATATAAATTTTGTATGCGAGCAAGAGGCTGATTTGTGTAAGTAGTTCTGGGATGCGCTGCAAATTGAAATGCGAAGAGAAGACACCTGGGCATGTTCGATGTGGATGTGCTGTTAAGCGACCTTGAATGTAAGGAATGCGATGCAGCAGACATGCAAAGAATAAAATCTCCCTAGCTAAACATTATCACCCTATGCAGTGTGTTAATAAAGAAGAATGCGTTCTTAACTTAGAGTAGGGCCTGATCTTAGTACGGGCTGGTTATTGTTGCTGTACTTTAATGTGAAGAAGTATAAAAAAAGTGTCGCCTCTGCACATACACACAACCTTTCTCTAAGACTTAAGCTCGGCAAAAAGAATAGAATGCTCCCTGCCAGATTCGCTGAAAATTTGAAAGTTAGTACTCTGATTCGAACCCCGGACATCGCAGTGAATACTTACAACTGGCGGCCTTCGGATATCTATTGTTAGGAATAGTCATACTCTATGATATGAGACCGACGTGATAACCGACTACACTCGTGGGGTATTAGTGTTTGTTGCTAAGAACGGTGCTGAGTTGCGACTTACCCAAGGAAGCTTATTAAGCTGATAACTCATTTGATGGCGATTTTGAAAATTGAACGGACTACATAGACATTAGCTATCGAGCAGGCAGTGTTCAAAGGTGGGTAAAGGTCGATGATTCCGTTGGTGGGGCTGAATAGAACATTAGTTGGCATCAGAGGTCTGCAGACTAGTGTGAGTGGGTAGAATCCAATGCGGGGTTGGCGAACCATGGTAAGCCATAATCATCTATACCTTGAAGAACATTAGAATTATGCCGTAATCGCGTCAAGTCTACATATCTGTACAGAACACTCTATCTTCCGTATGATGAGTAGCACAGCACACCGTAACCGTGACGCCTCGTCGTGACGTAGGAACCGAGCAATGCCAAAACGCCGGTAGCAAGTCGACCGCCCACACCATATTACTTCATTCGATCAAAGACTATGGCCCAAGTCGTTGCCCTCCATCCGGAGTTCTATTACTCAGCGGCACACTCGTTGTTGGCAGTACACCGTATCGGCCGTACGTCTTTTGGTCGACACTGACGTAGTGCGGTAACCTTCCAAGCAAGTTCAGCTTGGTCTCAACCCATCTCAGTATCTTCTCGTGCGGTACGAGGAACTTGATGTATCCGGAAGCCCAGAGGTAGCCGAGACCTGCGCCGCAAAGATGGCCGACTAGACTGACGTAGGGGACGAGGATGCTGGTCAGGACAATGAGGATCAGGGGCGTCGTCCAGGTGGGGATTTTGTATGGTCCGACGCTGCGAAGAGTCAGTTTTTGGATTGAGAAGAGGGGTCGCATGATGGTACCTGAAGTACGGGTTCGCCTTGTGTGTCTTCATTACTTCTGCAGACAGAAGGAGGAACACCCATACACTGTCGCTATTAGCACGTCCCCATACGTCCCTATAAACCCATCTGACATACCTCGCGCCCATGACTGAGGTGTTACTCCTCAGTACATACTTTTCCAACAATGTGTACACGCCCCCGGGTATCGTTCCAAAAGCTGCCGTCTGGTCAGCTTGATATCCATACATGTCACCCAGTTGATATCTTACGCCCAGTGAAGAGCGCCAATGTAACGAGTGTTCCATATTCGGACTCGAAACGCTCAATAAGTGGCGTTACGGCGACGAGGTTGAAGATCATGTGGATAAAGTTCCAATGTAGGACGGGAAACAGATTGAGTCGGTGCACTACGAGTGTATTGTATTAGCATTATGTTCATATTGGATCAGACGAAAGTCAAGTGCAACATGTCTCCTGCTACGTTCTCCTCCGTCTTCAATGCCAGCTCCGTGGGTTCCGCGCCCCATGATGCGCCCACGCCGCGATGCAAGAGCAGAACACAAGCACTGTGGCCGACCACGCTCCCCTGGTAGTAACAAAACAAACATACTCTGCGTCAGATCCATCTTGGCCGGCTCCAGGGCGCCAAAGTCCCTAATCCATGGGAAGGGAATCGTTGCAACCCATAACCCTACAATGGCGGCGACCAGCACTTTGGTGCAGAAGGGCAGGCGCAGGATATACGACCGTATACGGGCAGGGCTGATCTGGGGAATCGAGGTCATAGGCATGGTCGGAGCGAGCACGCCGGGCGTTGGTAGAGTTGTTATGCAGGCGCGTGTGTTGCTAAGAGAACAGACACGAAGATTACTATGGGACTAGGGTCCAGAGCCGCGCTAGTGACGATCCTCCCGCTGGAGTCGACTTAGCACCTTCCCAGACGGATATGTGGGATGCTGGGCAGAGGGCCAGGACACGACCCGGTTTTCGCTTTCTGTCCTCTTACATGACGTGCCATTGACGTCTCAACATGGCGCTCTTGTGTGAGTTCTGCTCTGGCGGTATGCGACGGACGAACAGCTGACATGGGAAGCCTCGATACTGGCGCTCCGGCAAGATAAACGCCTGCTCAAGCTACCGCCTTACCTCTCCGCGCTCTGCATCATCATTGGAATAGGGTGGTTGCTGGTTCTTCCGCTAAACGACTACTCGCGCAGGACATATGTCTCCGAGAACGCGCTCTTGCCTGGACAGGTACACACCTACTTTACTGGAAGCGAGCACAATGTGTTCCGCGCCTATCGCCATGAGGTCCATGGATTGATGGAGAAGCCTGTCGCTGAGTGCGTATAAACTACACAATCTACGAAGAGAGACTAACGAGACAACAGGCGCTCACAGCGACTCGAAGCCATCTTCCGCGAACAGAACCTCAAAGTCGCAACCCAGCACTACAACTACACCGTCTCGAACCAAACAATCGCAAACGAAAATGTCTACGCTATCCTCCAGGGGCCCCGCGCGGATGCCACCGAAGCAATTGTGCTGATTGGAGCTTGGAAGAACATGGCAGACGAGGTCAACAACTCTGGTGTCGCATTGGTCCTCACACTGGCGCGCTACTTCAAGCGCTGGAGTCTATGGAGCAAGGACATCATCCTGCTCATTCCCGGCGACAGCACGATCGGATCCCAGGCTTGGGTCGATGCATACCACGAGGCCCACGATACGCGTTACGTCGAGAGCTTGAAGATCAAGAGCGGGGCACTACAAGGAGCGGTCGCAGTCGATTATCCTGCTGGTCCATGGGGTCACCGATACGACAAACTGCATGTGGTGTATGATGGCATAAACGGTCAACTTCCCAACCTGGATCTGTTCAACACCGCGGTCCAGATCGCCTCCAGCCAAATGGGCATCGGCTGTGTGATCCAACGGATGTGGGACCACAAGGACTCATACAAGGAGCGTCTTCAGACTATGCTTCGAGGCATGCTCTCGCAAGGCATTGGCCATGCGACCGGACCCCATTCATCTTTCATTCCATACCACGTCGACGCGATTACACTGGTGACAGTCGGAAACGGGTGGCACGACGAGATGTCGCTGGGCAAGACGATCGAGTCGCTTTTCCGAAGCTTGAACAACCTTCTTGAACACCTGCACCAGAGTTTCTTCTTCTATCTTTTGTTGCAAGACAAGCGTTTCGTCAGCATCGGCACATACCTTCCCTCTGCCATGCTAATTGCGTTCAACTTCAGCATCGCAGCCATGGCATTGTGGGTAAAGAGCGGACGTACCACGAAGCCCATTGGTAACCCCGCAGCCACGAACCCCAAGAAGGCTCCCGTCGAGAAGCCATCTCCCGCAGACACCAAGGCAAAGGATCCAGAAGTCAATGAGAAATCTGAAGGTGAAAAGAAGCCTGAACCTGAACAACCAGCAACAGAACTCGTCGAAAAAGACGGCTCCTTGGCCATTGTCCCCGTAGCCAGCACAACGATAACAGAACGCCACCTCCTCTTCCCCCTCATACTTGTCCTCGCCGCCCACGCCTCCGGTCTGATTCCCCTCTACCTATTCAGTAACTGGGACGCCGACCACCTCCCCAACCTCTTCCTTACAGCCTGCAACGTTACCACGCTCGCCCCGCTCATCATAACCTTCCTCTTCTGGTGGTCTGCTCCTGATGTCCTTACCCCGCAAGCTCTCTGCCTATTCCAATGTTTCTCGTTGCTGCTACTAGGCATGTTCCTCGCGGCACTGGCGACGTTGAACTTTAGTTTGAGTGTCTTGGTTGGTGTGCTGTGTGTACCGTTGAGTTATGTACGCAGGAGTGGTAACAACAGCATCACAGGGCTGCAGATGTTGATTTTGGCCATGACGAATCCCCTCCTGGTTGTGCAGACTGCAACCAAGCTGCTGGGAGTGGGTCTTATGGACGTGCTCATGCAGAGTGCCATTGGATGGCACATTTGGGGCATGTGGACGCAGGTTGTTGTTTGGTTAGTCTGGTTCCCTGCGTGGTTGGTGGGAGCTTTGGTGGTTTCCGCTGGATTCTGGCAATAGTGGCCAGAGATGCGCTGTAGAAGATGTCATGTATAAGCAAGAGAGTTGTACGTGGTGTCATGAGTCTTATCGTTCGTTGACCATCTATGGCCACTATCTATGATTACATCGTATGCACGCGTGTTGCATCAACTGATGCATGTTACCCGTCAAGCATTGACATGGCTTCCTCTCAAAGGCGAGTCCTCATCGTCTAGTAGAAGATGCACCTTGTTCAAGCAGCCCAAACATCCTTGCCGACACCCTCGATCCAGTTGCCCAGTTGGTTGACACTGGCGTCCCACTCTTTCAACCTCGACCTCATGCCCTCAATCTGCTTCATGTCTAGAACCTTGGGCTGTACCCAGTTGATACGTGCAATCTCCGCAACCTGGTCAATTTGTCCCTTCAGCAGTCCCAAGCTCAGCGCCTTCATAATCAGGTGCTCGATCTCGTTCGGTTGTACCTTGGTCTCTTGGGAGATTTCGGAGAAGGTCATGGCGCGGTCGTGGGGTGGGCGACGGAACACGGTCTCTGTGAGGGCGGATAGCGAGATCTTCTGGTAGAGGAAGGTCTGGTGCTCTTTGAGGAGCGGGACCTTGGTGATGTTGTTGGAAAGGACGTCGTATGCCATCAAATCGCCGCGGTTGAAGGCGAAGAGGAGATCGCGGAGCCACGCATGTGGGGTGTTGACGAGCGAGTCGAGGATAGGGTGCAGCAGCAACTCTCCGAAGTTGTAGATGGAATCTGAGACGAGGGCGGCAATACTGAGGTCGTAGGCGCGAGACTGGCGTTCGCGCAGCTCCAGGTCGTTGAGGTCGACGCAGGCAAGGAACAGCAGGGCGTTCTTGTAGTATGCGGCGAACTCGTGCTTGGACTTGTAGTACTCTGCGCTTGCGCGGTAGAATGAGGCATGCACGACGGTCTCGACCGAGTCGAACGTGTCCAGTATCTGCTCGCACTCGTCGAGCTTCTTCTTGGCACCCTCCTCGTCTTTTAACCGTAGCTGTATGCTGGCGGCGGCAACTGTGGCGTATACGTAGGCGTCTTGTGAGGCGGGCTTGTTGACGCTCTTTGCGAGGTCATTGACAAAGGCGAGGCGTTCCTTGTCGTCTGTGAGAGTCAGCTGCCGTATCTTTTCACACCGCATGGCGCATCCTACCCTTGTACTGTGAAGCGGTGTTAAGTCCCAAGGTGACGAGCTTCAGCTGGTTGATCTTGTTTGCGAAGCTCTTGATGAAGGTCTCGAAGAAGGGTATCCGCTGCTTGGCGCTCTCTGGGTGGTCGAAGAACTCGATGAGCTTGTCGGTAAGCTCGTGCCATAGCTTTCGCTCCCAAAAGTCCTCAAAGGCGATGAAGTATTCCTGTAGTTCCTCGGGTGCCTCGTCCCGCGCATCGCCTAGAAGGTTCGGGATCGTGTCCGTGTCCATGGCCATGATTGCTGATTGTGGGCGTTCGATGGTAGGTGAGGGAGCGGGTATCGGGTGTAGAGTTGGTGGAGGTGATCACGGAGCTGGGCTGTTGTTGGCGAGTGCGGGACGTGTTGCTCTGATGGCGTTGCGGCGGAAGCTACGATTAGCGCATAGCGCCAAGACCAGCAACCACGGACGTTGATGCGTCCCATCGGCATCTCCAGCAGCTCTCTTCGACATATCCGCCGCCATTGAACGCCGCCAACATGCTGCCACTCCGCTGCGCTCGGTCGCCAGTGGCGCTGTCGGCGCAAACGCCCTTGAAGCGTGTCGCCAACTTCTCCACGTCCGTCCGCCGACAACAACTCAACTCGGACGTCAGGATAACCAGGTTCGCCAGACTCGTCCCCGCGCCGCCAAATACACGCTGACCATAGCACAGGACTGGAAAGCCCATCTTGACTGTCTCCGGCGGACGTTCCTCGCTCGGAGGTACGCTGCGACCCGCGCCGGCGTGCTATACCAACGCTCACACATCACAGGATACACCGCGACCGTCTTCGGGGCCACTGGATTCTTGGGACGATACATTGTGAACCGACTGGGTGCGTGGGAGCGATTGGCAGCGGAGGGACATTGCGCTAACGACGACGACAGCCCGATCAGGATGCACAGTGGTAGTCCCCTTCCGGGAGGACATGGCAAAGCGTCACCTCAAGGTCGCCGGAGATTTGGGCAGAGTTATCTTCATCGAGATGGACCTCCGAAACACTGCATCGATTGAAGAGAGCGTACGACACTCTGACATCGTCTACAATCTCATTGGTCGCGACTACCCCACCAAGAACTTCGACCTGGAGGACGTACATGTCCATGGGACAGAGCGCATTGTGGATGCCGTCGCCAAGTACGACATTGACCGCTTTGTTCAGGTCTCCTCCCACAGCGCACGCCTAGACTCACCCTCCGAGTTTTACCGCACCAAGGCCCAGGGAGAGCAAGTAGCACGCTCCATCTACCCCGAGACTACCATTGTCCGACCTGCGCCCATGTTCGGTTTCGAGGACCGTCTTCTTCACCGCCTGGCCTACCCGTCAAACATTGTCACCTCGAACAACCTAGAGGAGCGCATCCGCCCCGTCCATGTCATCGATGTCGGCATGGCTCTCGAGCGCATGCTCCACGACGACACCACCGCCGCCCAGACGTACGAACTCTACGGCCCCACAGAGTACTCCATGGCCGAGATCAACGAACTCGTCGAGAAGGAAGCCATGAAGCCGCGCCGCCATGTCAACATTCCTAAGCGTCTCATGAAGCCTATCGCACACTACGCCAACAAGCTTCTCTGGTGGCCCATCCACTCGGCCGATGAGGTTGAGCGCGAATTCATTGACCAGATTATTGACAAGGATGCGAAGACATTCAAGGACCTGGACATTGACCCCGTGGAGCTGAAGAGCTTGACCTTTGAGTACCTCAAGGGTTACCGAAGCTCGAATTACTATGATCTGCCACCCATGAGCGAGAAGGAGAAGAGGGAAGAGAAGAAGTACCTGCACGTCCTTGACGACCAATAGACGGGTACTAGCATAGTTTAAGGGTTATGGAAAATCTTGTACATATCTGTGCCCCTATGCTGGGCGGACATGGTCGGTAGAATCAACAAGTTTTCGTTTGTGCCTGTTACTTCAATCGTGTGGAAAGAAGATTGTATTTTCAGAGTGGGGTATCAAATGCAGGTGCGCTAAATGCTATCATAAGAACTCTCGTTCATACAGTCCGCGGTTCATCCTTCTTTTCCGCCAATCTCTCCAGGTACCGCCTCAGCAAAGCTTCGGTACTCTCCGGATCATCCCTATCCCTGCGCTCGTCCCAATGCCGGTAGAATTCGAGCACAACCTCGACAGCGATAAGTGCGATGATAGCCCACTCAAGCCTCAATCCATGTTTTTCACTCAACTGCTCTCTCAGCACACTAGCAATCTCTTGCGCAAATCCAATCTTCTCGTTGAGCACTTTGATACGTACTCCGACATCCAAAGCCCGCCCAACTTGATCGTAGTACTCGCCGAGCCCTAACTCGTGCCGCGAGTCCCAGAAGATGTCGGGCATGCTGTCGGTGAGCTCCGAGTAGAGATTCAGCTGAGCGCGAAGAGAGAGTAGTTCGCCTGTTTTACGCAATATGAAGGATCGCGTGAATGGAGCGCTGCGCCGAGGGGAGAAGGTTTTGGAAGAGGCTAGCATATTGGGGATCTCGCGCGTCGAATGCTGGTAAGCGGATAAGAGGGTTTCCAGGACGGCCAGCTTGGTGCTACGGGCAAGACCAGAGGAGAAAGCAATCTTTGCTAGAACAGTGTCTACTTCGTGCCGTTGGTCGGTAGTGTTGGAAGGCTCGTCGAGAGGGGATGATGGCGGGCTATCGGATAATGGCTCTGCTTTTGTGCCGAGGACGATGGTATCGCCAACCACTTCACTGGTCTCTTTGCTTGGGTCTTCGAGATAGTCCAAGTCTTCTGTCTCGAGCAAGTCCAGATGTGAGCCTTCAGCAGCCGCTGGTAGCACTTGGTTAACCAGCTTCAACGCTTCTCTTTCTCGGACATTCCATGTCACCACGGTGCCAGACGGAAAGATGAAGATGTCGCCCTGTTGGAAGTCCTTGACCTCTGACGGCCGATCGGAAGTCTGGACGTGTATAACTTGTGGGTATAGGCCAGTCTGGAAGGGATCGAGCTCGTAACCCTGGGCTTTGACAAGTCGAGCGGCGGTGGCAATATCGTACGTCTCGGCAGCGCAGTATGCGGTTACCGTCTTGGTTTCGGCGTCTGGATCTATGAAGCGGGTTCTTCCTCTTGACTTGACAAACGCCCGGGATCTCTGCGCCTCGACTGCGATGCTGCGCAAAGACGTCTTGCCAGCATTTTTCCGCGCGCCCTTGCGATCTGGCTTTTGCTGCGTCTCATTTGTGGCCTCTTCCTTCAGGGCCGCCTCGTCCTGCTTCTGAGTGAAGTCTATCTTTTTCTCATGTCTGCTTGTCGTCGAAAATAGTGGGTTTGCGGGGGTGCGCAACAACGACGGGGCGTGTGGAAGATTCAGCGGGCGGCACGCAGCAAGACACCGTGTCAAGCCATTGAATGCGTGTTTTTGAATAGCTGTCATCACCGGCGCAAGTGTGGCTCGGACATAATTCGCAGCAACGGGCGGCGAGGCTGGCGATGGATCTTAAGGTGGTGGAGCAGTGCGGAGGAAAGCTAGACCCTTGCAAGTCCGCGGGAATGGCTTGGCCAGCATCATAGGCCTAGATCGACGCGGGCATCGACTGCAACAACACCTCCATCTCCACGCGCCGGAGCTTCTCCAGGTCTCTACCACGCCCGCCGCAGCTCATGCCGCCAGCATGGCTGCGGAAAACACCCCCGACGAACCGCGTACGCCTGCGCGCGACCCTCAGCCCGTCGACAAGGTAGCCAGCGAAGCGAAAGCCAGCGCCGAGCACGACTCCGACGACGAGGACGACGAGGTCGAGGAAGAGCCCAAGCTCAAGTACAGCCGCCTGACAAGGGACTTGGGGCCCGTCTACCGCAATGGCGACGCGACAGCTACCTTCAT